ATCTGACCTGCCAGCATGTCTACTGCAACCCAGCTCTGGTCAAATGCATTTTGCTCTGGCGACCAAGTAGAAACCCTTCGTCGATGAGCAGTGTCACGACCTCCGGTGCGAGGGTGTCGCAATCACGCTACCGAGGATTGTCGCTGTTTGACACAGAGAAAACATAACAAATTCAGGGGAATTTCTGGCATCCGGCCACTGAAGTTGGATATTCGAGGTGAAGCCCAAGTCCGCCGTTTCCCGTATGATATGTACCTAGGTAATAACGTTCCCTGGTCTCGCCTCCTCTTCGCCAGAAGAGGACTAAGATAGACCTCTTGGACGTTAGCCAAAGGCAGTCCCTGGGCGAGGGATAGAGAGAGCTGGACGATGTCGAGGAGTTGGCGCGGCACTCTCTTGATCCGAATCGGACGAAATGTCTTCGATGTAAATCCTAAGCAGCCGACGTCTCCTATAGTGACGGTACCGTTCCGCCAACGGAAATGCCCAACTGCTCACCACCACCCCCAAGAACAACAGCCATCTATCATCGTCCAGGGGGATCGCCACCGCCAGAAGAGTGCAAAAGAAAAGTCCGGTCAGCTTGGCATTCCTCGGCGCGATCTTGACCTCCCGCGCATACGAAGCCATCGCCAGTGTGCTGGCCCACACTAGGCTGAGACGGCCGTCGTTTACCAGTCGTAGCATGTGCCGCGGCACTATTGATTCCAAAAGTCCATAATCGGGCCCATCCATATGCCACTCTGCCCATATTTGGGGCCAGAAGCAGAATGCCAGCCACAAGAGGATGGCGGGGCGGACGAGGCAGAACTCGACAATGGGGCGCCAGTAGAGAAACGATCCTGTGGTCTCCAGGCGGTCGATGGCGTTTGTGATGCACAAGAAGACCAGACGGTTGATGCGCATCCTGGCACTGAGGAGCATCAGGTAGGCGGCGTCGGCTGTCGTCTCTGCCTGGTGGACCTCGATGACAAAAACACGCTGGTCGAACACGGTCTTAAACTTTATCGTGGCAAACCAGGCGCCGTCTTTGGCTGGCTTGGTTTCGGTAGGTTGACCACTTGGGTTTGTTTCCTCGTATCGAACGGTGTAGTCGCACCAGAAGCGCTGCTCCCATGAATAAGGCTTCCACCGATCGATGTTGATGGACAACACCATGATCTCCTGGTGGAGTACTTTCTCCTGCGGGCTTGAGCCTGGACGCCGAAATGTGATGACCAGAACTTTTGAATTCCCGTCTGTTCGTATGAGGAGGCCAGTGGAGGGATCAAAGTTGTATCCTCCCGTGCATCCTCCCCAAGTGACATCTTTTGGAAGGGGTTTGAGAAGAAAGCTTTGGGGGGGTATCCGATACTTGAGAGGAGTCTCCTTCGTTGACAGATATATTGGAATAACAGGAAGCCGCTTCCATTCCTCATACATGACCGATTTAGATCGTGCTGCGTGTTTGCGCTGAAAAACGTTGCCGGAGTATCGTATCAACGGGATAGCCAAAAGGCTCGCAGCGTGACCCTTGCGGCAGTGAAGCACGGCATAGTGTGTGCGAACTTCTTGGAAGACGCGAAGTTCAATTTGGATGCCGCGGTTGGTGAGGGAGAATGGCGCACTCTCACCTGTCTCGACTGCAACGACGTTGTCGGATTCCGAAAAAAACTCGGGCTTGGACGCAAGTAGCCCCCCAGGTCCCTGAACTGTACCAGCAGACAATCCTTTGGTGTCCTCCCAGGCAAAGATGGAGTGGTCGTCGGAGTGTCGCATTATCTCCTCTTGTAGTCGCATAAAGGCGCCCCGTCCTTCGCCGTACAGAAGGGGCATGTTGATACCGAAGATGCCCAGGAGACAGTAGGCCAAGTCCTCTTCCCGCGTCGTCTCCCGCGACGAGGCCCAGCTCATGCGCTGCGCCACGCTCAAGGAACGAAGCCAAGAATTGCGGAAGCGGTCTCGCAGGAAACCGGCCGCAATGCCTGTACGGGACGATATAGCATCCCTAAGGCCGTCCCGGGTTCCGATCAGGTCCCAGTCGCTGGTGTAAAAGTTGACCTGCCGAGGGGCGATGAGCTCCTGCAAAGTCCATCCCCTGGTAAACCAGCGGCTGTTGCCAAACTGCTCGAGTTCACTGGCATCGCTGGAAATGTCGGAAAGGTAGGCGTAGCAGATTTCGGCCTCTTCATACCACCGGAACATGGAGTTGATGGCCTCGGACAGCTCGGCGCTGCTGGACTTGTCGATGCAGCACGTGTCCACCCAGGCGTAGTCGATGCCGCTCTCTGAGGCTAACTTGCAGGTGCCGACAATCTTTCGGTAGCCTTCCTTCCATGTCGGGGGATCGCCCGATTGCATCTCCTGGAAGGTCACCTCTTGGTCGCCCCATGTATGCGAGAGGATGGCGTAGGTGGGACGGTATGTGTCTCTTGGGTTGACTTCTTCCAGCGCGAGAGAATTTGTGTTGATGAGACGCATGGCGGCGGAAGCTGGCACATTGAGGGGACAGATGGTGATGATGGTGATGATGATGATGATGAGGGGGCGAGGAGACGCCACGGCGTGTGAAATGAGGAGGTGCGTTGGTGATTGCCGCCTTCCTGCGCCGCAAATTCAAGCAGACCGCTTTCCAAGCCCCGAAACGCCTGAAACTCAGGCATTGACCATTTCTTCGTCGAAACGCACCTGCTTGTTGATTCATCACCTTCCGACGACTTCCATCATCAATTTCCAGTTTCGCTCGGGACGCCATCGGATCCATCAAGAATATGAATTGAAAAGCTCGGATCGATGGAGAGACCAGCATCGCATCACAGAGGACCAGAGCAGATCGCTCTTGGGACCTGTTGCCTTTCTGAGGTTTTTTTTTGTTTTGGCGGAAAGACGAGGAAGGTTGGACGCCGTCCCGCAGCGACAAGGACACCGCCGTACCCCGCTCGCCCCGCACACCGACTGCCCCACCTTGGCCCGAAACTCCGGCCCCGAGCCCCGGCGAGCTCGGCCCACCCGGAGCCACCTGATCTCTACGGAGTACATGGGAAAGGAGTGCGGCCAAAACACCCGTACCGAATTCCACACCCGACCATGCTACTAAGGGGCGCTCCGCCGAAAGAAAACATGTCTTTTCCCTCCAAGACTCGACTCTCAAGAATCGCCCTTTACAGACTCATGGCGGGTCACAAATCTTGCCTTCAGCACCCCTGAAAGAGACAGTTCGTCGAGGGACTCACCGAGTCACCTGAGTCACCTCATCCACGAACCTTGGTGGGCCTCGACGTCAAGGTCTGTCCGAGTGGTCAGGTCGACGACGATTGGCCGAGCCAAGACCAAAGGAAAAAATGGGCGACGGGGTCGACAATGACATTGCCCAAGAATGCCCTTGTGCCTTGCGGGAAGCAAGGTCGCCAAGAGGGTGCATCACGCGACGACAAAGACGTGGAACGACGCCTCTTTGATGCAAAGTTTGGGCCTGCGCTGGCGCGGGGTGCAGTCCTGTGTCCCTGTCTGAAGCTTGCTGTGTCGGGCCTCGAAAGGAGCCACGACAGCGGGATGGCGGCCCAATCCACCAAGGCCCCCTGACGGGGATGGTATAAATGCTCCGGTTGGCCGCTTCGTCCACGACATGGTGCATTCTGGATGACTCGACAGCATCGATTCCCGAGACCATTGAACCTGATCATTGTTATTTGAGCCCCTTTTATAGAGTCTCACCCACCACCACCAGCTTTTACCCTTGCATCTGTATATCACATCAAAAAGATGTTTGGCCAACAGCTATTCGGCCAACAGCTATTCGGTCAACAGCTATTCGGTCAACAGCTATTCGGTCAACAACCATCCAACCAGCAACACTTCACCGGCGGGTTCAACGCCCCTCAACAAGACAACATGAACCAACAACAACCACCATGGCCCATCTGCCTCGGCGGACCCCCCGCCAGCTTCAACTTCCCCAGCTCGCCCCAGAGCCCCGACGCCGCCTCGGAGAACTCCAGCTTCTCCAGCTTCTCCAGCCAAGCAACAAACACCCCCAACACCTCCTACGCCTCCTCCCTCTGCTCGCCCGACCCCCGGGACTGCTCCCCGGCCCCCCTATTCGCCAACGCCTTCAAGTCAACCCAACTCGACCCCTTAACCCCCGCCCACAAGAGCACCCAACAACCCATCGGCCTCCCGACCCCCCCCTCCACCCAGCAACCCGGCACCCGCTTCTTCCCCCCCACCCCCGCCCCCTTCACCCCCTCCTGCGCCCAATGCACCACCCCTCTCCCAACCCACAAACCCCTCTCCTGCGGGCACCTGACCTGCCCGCCCTGCGCGCGCGGGCTCTTCCTCTCCGCCCTCGGCGCCGCCGCGTCCGGGTCCCCCTTCTCCGAAGCCCGGTGCTGCGCCGCCTCCACCCTCCCCCTCGCCGCCGCCGGCCCCGTGCTCGACCACTACGAGTTCACGGCCTACCGCGAGCGCATCGTCGAGGCCGCCCGCGCGCCCGACCAGCGCCGCTACTGCCACGATCCGCGGTGCGGGATGCTCCTGCGGCTGGACCGGCCGCGGAGCGGCATGTGCGCGCTGTGCGGCGATCGGACGTGCACGCGGTGCGGAAGGCGGTCGCACCGCGTGCCGTGCGCGCCGGGGACGGAGTTTCAGGTGGGAGGGGGGGCGAGGCCGTGGGTTGCTGAGTACTAGAGGTATAAGGTCGTTCCGTGGGAGGGGGGAGTGGCGGTAGGGGGAGGGGGGGTGGATGTTGGACGACTACAGTGGGGGGAGGGGTGGTGGTGGGGTTTTCTTTCTGGCTGTTTGGGTCTGGTGTTTGCATGGTGTTGGGAGAATTGGGAAGAATAGACGCCTCGAGGCTGGGGTGGGAGCATTGTATTGCGGCATGGATCATGGAAGATTTAGAGCGCAGGAGCGCGGAAATAAGGATAGATACAGGAATGTAATATAGTTTTGTCTGCAGAGAATACTTGAGTGCCAGTCAGTGAGCCCTTACCGTGATGTTGGGAAGGGGGGCAAAAAAGAAACTCTCCTGCTGGGATTCGAACCCAGGTCAAGGGCGAAGCAACACAGGTTGACAAGCCCCCATACTAACCTCTGTACTACAGGAGACAAAGATGGTTGTTCTGTTGTTGGAATGAGCCGCTGGTCATCTCTTTTAATGGTGAGGATGGATAGAAGGAAGGGGCCAGAGGAGAGTGGAAGGGGCAAAAGCGGTTGGGACGAAAGGGCAAGAGCGGTCGAGGGGGAGGGACGTTCGAAACCGAAGCTTCCTCCCTTCCATTGTATCGATTCTTCTCCTTTCTGAGAGGACGAATGGTGGTATCATGGGGCCTTAAATTTGGCACAGAACTCTTCAACATTCTATTCGAAAAGGCCATCCTGTTACCATGGTGTCCTGGGTCTCGACGTCAACTTTGGACCTCGGGCGACGATGGCCTGGTTCGACTGGGTTGGCCATGGTAAGGCTGAGCCGTAAGTCTCTGAACTGAGGAGATCCAGGCTTACAATTCCCCGAATGTCTATGATTACCAGGGACATTTTCCCAATGTCAATTTCCGAGCCATGTAAACATTGCCCCTTTTTTGCTGTCCGATGCCGATGCCAGCTGGCCGCAGCTGGCAGACCATGGACTCCATCACATGCCGACAAGCGAGGCCGGCTCGGCCCCTGCGTCACAGCGTCATGCCCCCCAAGCTCCCCGGGGCCGAGCTCGAGTTTCGCGGGGCCCCAGCATTGGCACTGAGCCGACAACTGCCGTCATTCCACATGCGCCTCCAGGCCCGACCGAGGGCGGAAACTTGATCCCGCTTCTCGCGTCGACCTCGGGATCCATTCCCTCCAAACAAAACAACCCCGACTGCTGTCCGCTGCCCGCTGCACCTTTGCGCCTCTACCGACTGCCTCGAATTGCACGCCATTGACTCATCCATTCCAATGAGGTGAGACGGAGGATCGCCCACACCCAGCCCGTCGCCCGTCGCCCGCCTCCAGCCACGACACCTCCGAATCCGAATTGCCGAGGCATCATGTCGGCCGCTGTCGAGAGCCTCAGGGTACGCCACAGCACCCCCTCCCAACATCGCCCGTTGATGCCAGGATGAACTGACAAATATGCCAATGCAGGCGGCTGCCGAGCGCATTGTCCTTGATCCGAAATACCATGACATCCTCTCCGTCGTCAAGGCTGCCCGCAACGGCGCTGTCTACGGCACCAAAGTCCGGTTTCCCCATGCGCTTGTGTATGCGCCCCAAACCAAACCCCTCTGGCCATGACGCGGCGACTGACGAATGATGCAAAGCATGATTGTGCTCTTCCGGTCTGGAACGTACGAATCCCCTCCCCCACCCCCTGCCGCCCGCTGCGTCCACGCTGACCAAACCTGCCGCCCAGTGTCCGAGAAAAAGCAACCCTCATCTTCCGCGCGACGAGGACGCACGCCCGCAACCTTGCCAAGTTCGCAACGATATACAAGCTCACATGCATGGTTCTCAAGAACTTTGGTGCCACGCCGGGCAAGGAAGGGCCCTACGACAGCTTCGTGGCCGGTCTGCTGGGAGGTTACCTGGTGTTTGGCCAGCGGACACGCACGGGCAGGATCTCGAGCGTCAACCAGCAGATCGTCATCTACATCTTTGCTCGCGTCGTGCTGGCGCTCGCCCACCTGTCCGTCAAGCCCGGACATGGCCTCCCCGGAGTGTCGGACCCCCACCGGAGCGCCGTTATCAGCCACTATGCATGGCCGATGTTTGCCAGCTTGTCCTGGGCCTCGGTCATGCACTTGTTCAAGTGGCATGCCCCGGAGCTGCAGTCGGGCTTGCGCAGCAGCATGACGTATATTTATGCCAACTGCGACGAGTGGGACGGGTTGAGAAATTTCCTGTGGCACAACAAGTGATGGGAAGGGTGGACGGACTGAATTTACAGACATTTTCTAGGCGTTTACGGGAGGATGGTTTGGCTTTTGTAAGACTTTTGCAGTGCTCAAGATGCCATCAAGATGGGAGGTAGATCTTCTTGTCGTTTTGTATAAGTGACGGTTCTTGGCTGATAAATGGAACCCGTCCAGTGAGAGAAGCACATATCAGCCGATCCTGTTCAAGATGCACAGAGGGAACCCAATGAAGCAGACATAGCACAGTGTGGGCCTCACCGAGTTGAGAAACCTGCATCTCCAGGTAAGGGTCAGTCACGGACATTCACTTTGCATGCTTCCTCGGGGTGGCGACTTGACTATGTCCAAGTATCAAGCATACTCACGGGCATATGCCGCCGTTCATGCAAAGAACACCCTATTCGATGAGCATATCACTCGTCCGGACAGCGCTGCATGACGCCTCGGTATAGAGAAGAAGCCCTAATGCACCAACGCCCTCTCCTCGGTCAAGTATAAGTAAGAGAGTTCCATCCTTTTCGTCCCAGATATCGTTTTCCACCTTCACACACACACATATATATACAGGAGCTTCATCAACTTTGACAAGTTCAAAAAACATCAGTTCCGACACTCGACCCCTTCGTTCTCAACCCCCAAACACCGGTAAGAATCTACATCACCGACAGCAGAATCCATTTTAACCCATACCCGACAGTCAAAATCAGCAAAATGAACCCCTGGGCCGACGGATATTTACCCATCCAATACTATGAGGATGTGGAGTGGGGGTATAGCGACTGCGACACGGACGTCGAGGAGTCCGGGCCCGCCGAGCCCCGGCCCGCTAAGCCCCGGCCCGCTGAGCCCCGAGACCGAGACAAAGTTGTCGAGGACGACATGCTCTGGGTATTGGGAGCGATCCAAGAGGACGACTGGCAGGAGGTCAACCAAATTCCTCAAGAGGTACGTACATCCGTGCAGTCAGAAAAACGAGCCTGGCCGCACTCAGCACATTACAACCATGGAACACAACACCATGTCCTGGCACGCCGAGACTCCCCCGAAGTGGCCCTGTCAAGTGTACGGGACGCCAAAGAGAGGATGTCCAAGCCCCATTTCATCCATCCCGCTGCTCCCACCCTCTCCCGCCCATCCACCTCCTCGGACCGCCCATCACTAACCCCCTCGCAGATCAGACCAGCCTCGCCCGACTCCCTCCGCCGCGCCCGAGAGGGAAAAAGAAAGGTAGCCGCACCGGCACCAGCACCGGCACCCGCCCCAGCGCCCGCACCAGGACTCATACGCATACCCGGCCATATGAGAGCAAACTTGGCCTCGTGGGTCAGAGCCGCCGAATCCAAGACCCAACGCCGGGTGCTCGAAGCCGGCCGCCTCCCCCCCTTCCCCGCCCCGCGGACCGGAGACGCCGGCGCAGAGAAAGAGGAGGAATCGACACCAGAATGGAGAGCAGCCTTAGCCTCGTGGGTCAGAGCCGAGGACCGGCGCCTGGTGCTCGAAGCCGCCCGCCTCCCCCCCCTCCCCGCCCCGCGGACCGGAGACGACGGCGCGGAGAAAGAGGAGGAATCGACACCAGAATGGAGAGCAGCCTTGGCCTCGTGGGTCAGAGCCGAGGACCAGCGCCGGGTGCTCGAAGCCGGCCGCCTCCCCCCCCTCCCCGCCCCGCGGACCGGAGACGGCGGCGCAGAGCAAAACGAGGAATCGGCACCAGACGCGCTCGATTGGCTCCAGAGGCTCGAAGACGAGCTCAGCATCATCGACGAGCAGGCCGGAGACGGCGGCGTAAAGAAAACGGGGCCAGTACCGGCGCCAGGTGCACTCGAGGGCTGGCTCCGGGACCTCGAAGCCGATTTCGCTCAGCTTCTCTCGCGAGACGCAGACGACGACGCAAAGAAAACGGAGGAAGCGGCACCGGCACCGGCACCGGCACCGACCACATACGAGGCCAGCGAGGCGGCGTTCGACGCCGAAACAGAAGCCTGGATCTGCGGCCAGGCCCGGCCCCAGGAACTCGAAGCCAGTTTCGCTCAGCTCCTCTCGCGAGACGACGCAGACGGCCGCCCAAAGAAAACGGAGGAAGCAGCACCGGCACCGACCATATACGAGGCTAGTGTGGCGGCGTCCGACGCCGACACAGAAGACTTGCTCTCCGGCCGGTCCCCCGCGCCCCCCCCGCCCCGCAGCCACGCCGAGGAACAGTACACCAACCGAGTCGCAGCCCGCTCCGACGCCGACCGCCTCGCGGACAAGATAAATCAATCGGCACCCTTCGTAGTCTGGATGCCCAAGGTGCAACGCTACGTAGACTGGCGGCCCAGGCTCCACTACTGCCACACGTGCCGGGACAGCACGATGATGGAGGTCCGCAACGACCCGGCGTGGAACGGCGCGCCCCGGCTCAACTGCGACTGCGGAACCCAGTGGTGCATGGTCTGCATGCGGGTGCTCTTCAGGGCGGAGCACCCCGAGTGTCCCGGCCGCCCGGACTGGAACATGCGGGAGTCGGAGCCGGAACCCCCCGCCCCGTCCCCGCCGCCGCAAGCCGCCCCCGAGAGGAGGCGGCGGGCCATGTGCATGGGGTGCGAATCCAAGCCGCGGGTGGAGCACGAGGCGGGACAAACCGAGTCGCTCGACTGCCCCCACAGCTATGTCCCGGGCGATGTCCTCGAGAAGCAGTGCCCGTCGTGTCTGGTCGAGGGCGCCAAGGAGCTCAGCGCCCACGAGGGCGCGGGCCTGCTCAAGTGCACGTGCGGGTACGAGTGCTGCGTCCTGTGCTGGGACATGCGGTGCGGGAAGCCGGACGAGTGCCCTACCCGCGTGGGCAGGGACTCGGCCCGGCTGCGAGCCGCCCCCGAGGATGGGTGGGTGACGGCGCTAGCGGTACCCGCCCCGCCACCGCCGCAAGCCGCCCCCGAGTTGACGGGACACCCGGCGCCAGCAGTGGCGTCGGCACCCGCCCGGGACTCGGCCCCGTCCGTCCCCGAGAACAAGCAGTTGACGGGACCCCCGGCGCCGGCAGTGGCGTCGGCATCCGCCCTGGACTCGATCCTGCCGAAGACGTGCGGGGAGGTGAGGACAGAATACCCGCTGCCGCAAACTCCGCGCCCGCCGAAACGCGCCGCCGGACAGAGTCGGTGGACGAGGTGCCCGGCGTGCAAGGTCACGGAGTGGATGAAGTACAGCTGTGACGAAAACGGCCGGGGGTCCCAGCTCGAG